AAATCTCATCAATTCCCATCCCTACTCAGCACCTTTGAATGATTCATGTTGCAGTCCAAATGCTAACTCTAATATGAAATAAATATGCACACACACTAAGCCACACCTGTGAAACCCCTCCTATGTAGCAAACGGCAGAAACATAAGATAAAGAACTATTTTCCAAGAACTGTAAACATAAACAAGCAGCACATCTGTGTGGAACAGGAGACCTTCCTGTCTTCCTTATCACTGCATTCTGACAGGAACCAGCCTGACACACAAATGTCCCGTGTCCAAATCACTGTGTAGTTTTGTGTCAAAGTCAGAAAAGCCATTGTATACCGTTCTTATGAGCCAAGGCCCAACAACTCACTCACAGTTGGGGTTCAAACTACAGTTCTGTAAGGGTTAGCAGGGATACAGACTGATGGAAAACTTAATCTTCAGCAAAGAAGTGTATGTATGCTGCGTTTCTACCAACCAATGTAACGTGATGTAATGTTCTGTACTGACACTAAACATGTTCTAAGAACATGTTCTCCAAACGTTAAGCACTTAGAGCTTCAGCTTCACAGACAGAGCTCCATCTGCGTCAGGCTTTGACAGCAGAGCTCTGAGGTGTCAGTGAGCATTTACACGTGTTAGTAGTATGTCACATGTGAAAAACACATCCACACACAGCAGTACTCTATTGAAACAAGTGTAAGTAATAAGAAGCCTTACACAGTAACATAGGAGAACTGTCCACAGAACTGCTGCTGAATGACGTTCCGCAGGTTCGGGTTCTTCTGTTTGGACAGTGTGTCCTCCAGCAGGGACAGGAACAGCTTCGAGAACTCCTGGGCATCCTGAAAATAAAGGCTCTGAAGTCAGTAGGACAAAAAGCAGAGTGTGTGCACGTTCCTAACAAGCTTGAAAGCCAATATTTGCTATGAGCAGCACCTTTATTCTTCAACACATTCTCAACTCTTAGGCAAATTTTCTCTGAGTGTCATTTGTATACGTGTTTGTAATCGGCTGCTCGTCGTTTTTGCACTGCTAGAACTGCAGCTACTGAAACACAGAACACCCACTAAGAATGTTCAACGAGTAAAATTCATTTCACTTTGACCTGCAACAAACCAACGCGATGGCCACATCTATGGAACAGTGCGCTTTAATGTTTGAATGGATCCAGTTTAAAGTGTGGAGCTCAGATGTGCAGCCATGACCTTAGAAACAAACAGCAGCACCAAAATACACATTCGGCCATGAACTAGTTCACTGGAATTAAAATGTTTATTTGACCATTTTGTCTGCTAAATCAACAGAACAGCCACTTTCTGCAGCGTTAATTGCACGTGCTTTGTTGCAGCAGTATTGTATTTTGTGACCTCGGTTCTCTGAAAATGTCTGACTGGAGTAGGTGACACATTTTCTGTGGAGGGAGCGTCCAATGACCCATGAAGTAGCTGTTTTAGATTGGTCACATGATGTCAACGCCACACACAGGGGAAACCTTCGGTTAACTAGCTGATAATTAGCTTCATTTGACTGTTTATCCAGTTTGGCAGTGTTAGGGAGTTAATCCAGGCCGCACACTGGTTGACCTGACTTTGTAATACAGCCCACAGTTCTCGAGGTGACTTACCTTGAAAACAAAAAAACCTTAAAAAACCCCAAACACCTAAAAACATCAAATACAGCACAATAATTGACTATATCTGGGTTTTTTCTTCCTGATTTACTGCTTAGTGTTGACATTATTCAATTCTAATGTAATTTGTACATGCCTCTTATGGGAACCAACTGTGGCTTCTAGTAACAAAATGGCTAAAAATACAGTTTTGCCAAGTTTCCGTTATGTGTACAGAACAGCGATTCATCCTGTAAGTTACGTGTGCTTTTTAATGCTCGAGTGATTCACAGATCAGTGTTTAGTGGCTTAACAAACATTCCTTTGAAAATGTTCGGGTACAAAGACTGGACTGAAACAAAAGCAGTGTGCAACAAAGAACTTCAGATTGTCTCAAAAGATATTGTGAGATCATTTTGCCTGGCTCCTTGGACACATAGATAAATGGGACTGAATGTACCTGTTGCTGTCCTGTGTCCAGACCAAGTGCTTTCACTAGCCCTGAAGGGTCGATGTACTTTCTGTTGCTATTCTGCAGGAGAGCGAACAGATACTGTAGATGCTCACAGATGGACTGGGGCTCGTAATCTGAAATAGACAGAGGATAAGCCTTCACAGTATACTGTATATGCACTGTCACAGTAGCTAACATGAAAAGTCAACTTTTGCTTTAAGCAAATTATGTCAGTTACTTGAAAATACATTCAAAACAGTAGAAATGAGTACTAGTCCAGCAGAGCATTGGGCCTTTCACATTTCACACAAGAAAGTTTGAATTTTGCTGTGTGCTTGCCAAATACCCCAAGCTGCTCTCCAATGCATCCATCAGAGTGAATGTGAGTGAGATGACTGTATTCTCCTCTGTTTTGGTTGTTCCGTGAAGTGATGGTGCATGTAATGATCAGTCTTTTTGTCACACACTCACACCGCGAGGTGCAACTGGGGCAACTCAGGGTTCAGTATCTCGCCCAAGGACCGAGATACAGACCACACAGACCAGAGAAACCAGGACTGCAGGACCAGGGATTGATCCTCCAACACTGGGATTGGTAGAAGACCCACTCTACCACCTGAGCCCCAGGTGCTTTACAAGAAAAGTTACATTTACTCATACATTCACAAACAGCTTGATTCTGGACACTTTTGCATCACACACACGGCCAATTTAGAATCTAACAACCAACCCTGTGTTTGTACTTTGGGTAAGAACCAGGATGGGAAATGGACTGGTTCTTATACAGCATTTTTCTACTCTGAGCACTCAAAGTGCTTTACACAACTTGTTCATTCACCCAATCACACAAGCACTTTTTCCTAATAGGTTACTAAGTGCTTTCTAACTAACATTCGCACAGCATTAATACTCTGATGGACGCATCGGAGAACAACATGGGGGTAGTATCTCGCCCAAGGATATTTGGCATGCAGACTGGAACAGACTGGGATCGATCGAACAACCAACCTTCCAGTTAGTAGGTGACCTGCCTGCTCTACCACCTGAGCTACAGCCACCAGTATCAGTAGGAATCTATGAAAGCACAAGAACAAGTGCCAACTACTGCATACCGACGTTTGTACTATGTTATTTATATGTACAACAAGCAACAACACCTTTCCAAATCTGGCTAAAACCTGCAGAGTTTACTTGGAAAACAAATAAAAACACAGAAGCAGCCCAGGATTTAGTTTTGACTTATACCAGACTCAGTGTCATGTTCCTCTGCTCTTGAATTTTGGCACTGATAGAGACTCCTACGCAGCTCCAGGTTGTGGAACCATACTTGCAGAAATGTGTTGACGTAACATGTTGCACCAAGGTTGGTCAACCCAACAAATGTGTTCTAGAAAGGGGCAGAGACAGACAGAGAGAAATAACCTTATCTTTACATATACTGTTTCTACATGTGGCCAGGACTTGGACTGTCAATCATCAAGCAAGGCAGCCAAAAAAAGGCCATGTGAGAAAATCATTTGCAGTACCTTTTCTCGACGTTCTGAATTTGGGTCATCGATACTGTGAAAAGCACTTTCATCAATTTCTCCAAGCCATGCCTGTTCACCAATACCAACCAGGCAGTTGGGATTCCCTTTGCAGTTCCTCCTGGAAAAGCAAATGAATACTATTAACTTTACTGGTTCACACTTTGGCTACATTGCTCTTAAACAACGCACAGCTGACAAACACAGCCACCCACACATTTAGAATAGAATTCAACTTTATTGTCATTGCACATGTCACAGGTACAAGGCAACGAAATGCAGTTTGCATCCATCCAGAAGCGCTTTAGCCACGATATAGATATATTACACATATATTAGCAATAATATAGATATATTTGTATCCAGGTAGGGGCCACGGGGTGAGACCAATAATGGTTTTTGTAGCGCAACCATAGCAAACAGTGCGGACCTTAACAAGACACTAGCAAAGTGTCTGTGTGCTAGGCTGAGCTAAGTTGTGCAATGTCAAATTCGAGAGTGGGTCTTCATTAGCTTTCCTACAGTCTATAAAACTGCTCCACAGACTTGATGCTTGTCCGCAAGCGAGGGAACAGCCGACCATTAAGCTTTTAACTAATCTGAATATAATGTAGTTCAACAAATGGGGTATTTTCACTAACATGCGCTATCACAACAAACATTGTTTAGAAATGTTGATACTGTACCTGCAGGCACCTCTTTTGCAGGCCGGGAGGTTGATTCGATATGCTAGCTCTATATGCTCCTGCCTGATTTCTTCTGGTTTCACAGTTTCCACCCAACGCCAAGCCGCTTTCTCCAGCTGTACGCGAGGCGCCATAATTCTATGGAGTAACGTTAACCTCTGCCACACATACGACACGAAAAAACCCCCCAAAAGACTCAAGTTAACTAAAGTGGAAACAGGAATGCTAAAACTGACGGCTAGCCGGAGTTATCGCTGGCCGTGGCTTGTTTCTTGAGCAACCTCCAGGTAGCCAGCTAATGCTAGCGTTCTCTCATAACCCTGTTGAACATAGTTGTAAGTCCATGAGTCCACAACGTAACAACGGAAGGGTTAATAAAAGACGACAAACTACCACTAACAGTATTTGCAGGGTAACGCCAGAAAAACAACACTCTTACTACGGTTAGCAAGCTAGCTAGCTAAAATGTAGCCCGACCGGCTGTGCTAGCAAGTCATTTTCCTCTGTACTTTCTATTTAACGCTCTCTAACGCTAACGTAGCAAGTTTATTGTGTTAAGGTCAAATTTCTCGAACCGTTCATACGTGCAGCTGCTTCACCAAAAGTATTTATGTATTTTCACATTTTATTCACGGTTTATTTTAGATTTAGCGCCCTTGCGTCAGTTTATAAATAAATTACTTCTCCGCTCAAAATCAACACGACGTCAAAATGTGACGTCGCTACTCTTCGGAGGAGGAGGGGACACGCGGACACCGGCGGACGGGCCTGCTCTCTGCACAAATGATGGGAAAGCGTCAGTTATGAGTTTCACTTCAATAAGCTGCTGCCTGTGTTGTCGACGCGGTGTTTACTCCTCGGATACTGTAATTCTGAAATTTCTTGCTGTCTGTCTGAATGTAATAGAAAAGCCAGTCGGATGGAAACGCGCTGTAAATATAGTTGGACCGAAGCCTGTCAAGCCTGCGATACGTGTTTGGCACTGATGTTATTTAGCCAGGGGCTAATGTGGGATACGTGTGTGTCTGTGTGTGTTAGAGGTGGCGAAAAAAGAGACATTATATACTTCAGTAGGAGGTGACATGCTTATTAAAACATTCTGGTAAAAGTATTGATTTAACTTTTTTACTCAAGTAAAACTGAAAGTGCAGGTTGTGAAAAATAGTCAAAGAAAGTAAAAAGTAGGACGTTTCTGTGCAAAACTGAACCTTGTGCTGTATTAATCTAATAAAATGATATTAGTATGGTGCTGTGTTCCAAAAGGATAACTGGAGGTGAGCCTGAGGAAAGCAGGGAGGATCATCCAGTCACACTCTGTTCACACCACTTCCTGCAGGATCCACTCCCAGCACACTGAGGCCACCAGGCGGCTGAACACTGGACACTTCACTCCATATTATACATAAATGGCATTTTTGCACAATATTCATCTGCTGACTTTCTGTATATGTTATACTTATGTATATACACACATATACACATGTGTATGTATATATGTGCATGCATTCTTTTTATTTGTACATACATTCATGCCATTCATTGCATTTTTTATATATTTCTTATATTTTATTTATTTATTTTTTATGTTTCTTATATTTTGGACACCACTGTTGTTTGTGAAGCTTGCACACAAGAATCTCACTGACATGTGCTGCACCAGTGTACCAGTAATGTGATGTGACAATAAAAGTGATCCGATCTGATATAAACTGTACGTACCTCTGTCTAATTACCCCTGTTGTGAATCAGTTATGTAGAACATGAGCACAGATAAAGAAGGCGAATGTAAACCAAACAGTTTTTGTTGCCTACACCGTAGACGGTGATTTAGGGAAAACTCACAATCAGATTTACAAGTATTTGAAAATTCTCTTGACAGTAACAAAGTAGTGAACAGGATTCTCCTTTGTGTACAGACGGTGCTCAGGTGACCTGGGCCTGTGCCACAAAGCCAGGGTTTCTTACTGTCATTTGATTGGCTCACCCTAACATCAGTAGTCAGGAACACGAAGCTGGTTAATGGTTCTTAGTCGTGATGGGCGTGGCATTGGCAACATCTGACCAATCACAGTGAACAGCAAAGGATAATTTAGTATCAATAGTGCTTCATACGTGCAGTTTGGTTAATAAGGCCAGAAAAGAGCTTCCGTATTAACGACACTTAGAATCCTCCCAGGGATCTTCGAGGAATAGCGATGCTATTTTCCGGAGACTTGGCTGGTCACAGTGATCTCTTTGGACCTGGCCTGTGTAACAGCAGCAGTCTCTTGTGTTAAGTTGTTTTTGTTTATGCCTTCTCTTGTTGTCTCTGTGAATATTCATCTAATTAGGATAACTATAATAATGCAGTAAAATAGCTTACTGGGCAGCCCGTTGCATTAGCTATTCACACATACATAATCTGCTTATCTGTGCTATCAATATCCTGCCTCTGAGAAACATTGTGTTGAGCTGCATCTCTCACTGCTGAAGTAACCATGACCCAGCAGAGCTGAGATGTTGACACAGCTGAAACATACGTGGAGAAGGGGAATTGTGTGCAAATCTCCAGATGTGTGGGTAGACCTTTGTCATGTCAGAATATACAGACATGTGACAAACTAAAGGACAAACATGAAATACAACAAGTGCAATGTGTGTCAATGTTGGTGTCAATGGAAAATTGTATTTAGTAGTCAGTATAATCTTTTAGTGATATAAGTTTGCTTATGGTAGAATACTGTTTGTATTAGGAAATGTTCAACCATGTATACTTAGAGGCATATAATTAATTGTGTGTGATCTCTAACAGGCTGCAGGCTTGGGGTGCATCCCAGGAATGCACCCCCACGTCTGGGAGCATGAGAGCTCATACCTTGTTTTATTGCTTTACGGTAGGATTAACGTAGCTATGTCTGTTTTAGTTTAAGTGCTTCTTTACATATAGATGAACTGCTGGACTTCCTCACCATGTTATCTAGGGTGGGGGAGGCTACCCCCTTTCCTGACCAAGGATGTACCTTTTGTGCTCTCATGACCCTTTGATCAGCAGGACACACACACACACACACACAC